CCCCCCCCGGGAAATTGGAAAGTCTACACCCAGCACTTGAACTATGCTCAGAAACAAAATGTTACCCACTGCAGTTCCTTCGCGACTGGTGAGATATGTTCTCACACAAGATGCATCAGTCAGCGAACTCCGCTGCTTCATTCTGCACTACCCGAAGTTTCTAAACATTCCTCAGAGGCTGCTCCATGTGCAGCACATCAGATCTGGTTATGACCAGACAGTAGATTAACCATGGTCATCTCTCCCCTTTCCGGGTGGGGATACAGCTGCCAAATTAACAGAGGTTGGAAAAAAAAAAGCATTATGTGCCACACATGACCTGAACGTCTACCTGTAGCAAAAAATGAAATAGAGCCCCAAACAAGCTGACTTCTTATTCCTTGATTAGTATTATTGACAACATATTGGCTACATTTTTTTTTATTTTGTTACCTTTGTATAGTGGAATTGCATGGGGTCATCCGTAGACAGAGAAACACAGAGACCCTTGTGTAGAAATTCACGTAATGGGTTTTTTGAATACTCCAGGAACAAGCTGTTGTTGCTGAGCGGAGACATGGCAATGGGGATTTGTGCAAGGTAATACAGATACTGGAGAACTGGACTCTGGACAAAAATAACAGAGAGGCATTATTCATTGACACCAAGAGATAACAGGAAAAAGAAATACTCAATTAGAGGAAATGGAAACCACTCAACTTCAGTCATTATTATCTGGAAATGTTTTAACCCATCTCTGCCCCCTGTAAACAGAGAGAACTGCCCATGTGCAGGGTTTTTTTAACATCTTAAAAGGGTCTGTTTACTAAACCTGATTACAGGATCAGATAGATGCCAGGTGGGCTACCTTAAGTGGGGTAACAGCCAGTTCGTGACCACCTGAGGACTGTGGTTGGCTCTTTTTGTAGAAAAAGCCCAGCAGGAACTTATTAGCATAATAGGCCACACCCAACAGCGGGAACTCATTAGCATATTGGGCCACACCCCTGACAGCACAGCTCATTAGCACATTAGGCCGCACCTCCATGTTACCAGAAGTGTGGTCATCCAGCCACACCCACCTTTTGCTTGTTATTCTGTTTACCTTGTTTGCTGTCAAAACCCAGGGCTTTTTTGTAGCAGGACCTCCTTTGCATGTTAGGCCACACACCCCTACAGAAGCCAGTCCTAATGAGTTTCTGCTGTTGGGTGTGGCCTATTATGCTAATGAGTTCCTGTTGGGCGTGGCCAACTTGGGAGCCAGCCGGAACTCCGTTCCTGTGCGTTCCTGCCCAAAAATAGCCCTGGACATATGTAACCATTGAATTGTCGATTTAACACTGCAAAATAAAAAGAACAAACAAAACACTGAAGGGGTTCTTCTCATCAGTAAAATGGAAGGTAATCTGAAATTAGTTATGCCCCCCTACTTGCTCCAAGGACAGCGCTATACAAATGATTTTTGCAGTGATTCCACTTCCATCTAGGAGACAAGTCCCAGTTTATGCTTGCAAGGTTCAAGTTGAGGTGAATGTCCTTATATTTGAGAGGAAAACAACATCCCTTGAATGATTAGTGGTTCCCCTCCCAGAATTCCTCCTTCCAAGTGAAAAGGAAGGGATACCTTCTATTCCACTGATGAGAAGAAGCCCTCACGGTAAGTCTAATGTCTCTTTCTCCATCAGTGGAGGAAGGTATCCTGAAATGAGACGCTAAAAAGCTGTGTCATCCATGGTGGGTAGACCACCAAGTCCTGGAGGAATTACTAGGAAACCCCCTGCTGGAGGAGTCTCCTGCCACAGGCTGTATTTCAAGACCTTGTAGTGCCTTGTGAAGGTAGAGACTGATGTCCTGGTTGCAGTCTTGCAGATTTCTGCAATAGTAACATCGGTTGGGAAAAGGCAGCTGAAAATGCTGCTGACCTGGAAGATCATGTTGTGATGCCCCTTGGAACCAGTGACTGCTAGACCTAATACGATATGGGCTGATCTGGGCTAGGCTAATAAGATATGGGCAGAGGTCCACCTACAGAAGGTGGACTAAGATACCTTTGTCCTCATGGAAACTAGTGCGAGGGAGACAAAGAGTCTGTAGTTCAGAAGGACTATATGCTCTTTATGACAGTTATTAGTGCCATCCTCTCCTCCCATTTCTGCTGTTCCTTCATGCTCTTTATGACAGTTATTAGTGCCATTCTCACCTCCTTGGAGTGTACTGGATGGAGTTAGAGGGAATGTAGGTGGATCTCCTGATCATTTTGAAAGGTTGAGTTTACCTTTGATACGAATGAGGAATCCATCCTGAGGATCACCGAAGGATTCATAACTTACAGTTCAGAAGGAGCAGGATATCCCAAGATGCATCTTGCTGAAGCGGTAGCAACACCATGGGAGGGGCTTGGAAGATAACCCCTCTAATGAATTGTTTGATGTGAATGAGTGATTAAAGAAGTCCCTTGTTCTCTGTGTCGAGAACTGCCTACAGCAGATGTTCCAGCATGTTGTCAGCCTTCAATCCTCGATAAGCCTAAACGTTTTTCTTGGTCTTGGACTTACTCTATAGGCTACTTTCACTTTTAAAGAGCTGTGGAAGTTTGTCTGATGCAGTGTGAGGCAGGGCATGGATTAGGTCTCGCCCCCTAGCTGGAAGTGGAAGCACTACAAAAATTATTTGCATAGCCCTCCATGTGGAGCGAGTAGAGGTGTAATCTGTTTCAGGGTATCTTCCTCTACTGAGAGACAACATCCATATTTTACAGCAAGGAAACTGAAATCTTTGAGCACATTTTGTTGCCGGCACATAGTATACGGAAATGAGTTATTTAGCAGACTGTGCAGTGTTCAACATATGACCTGAACTCCAGGAAAGAACTTCAGCAAATACATTCAGGATGAAAATAAAAAAATATCGAGAAACAGGAAATTGCTATCTGAAGGTTGAGAAAATGTAATACACTTACAACAAAACTGTGCCTTGAGGAAAGGAACTGATATCCCACAACAATGGCATAGCAGCAATGTATTTACTGTTCTATTAGTGTCAGAATTACATTGACTGCTTTTGAAACAAAGAACACAATCCAGCCTTTAAAAACTTTGAAGCACCCAGATTTAAACAGGAGAGCACTAACCATTGTCCTTAACTATACCACTTGAAATAAGTGGGACATATAGCTCATTGTTGTATTTACTCAAGATTATATGTTCAAATTGGCATCCCAAGAGTATTTATATGAACAAATACTTTAAATAAAAGTCAACAGCATAAGGGATGCCTTTCTAGTGTGCTTTGATGGCAACTATATTGTCACAAAGAAAGAGTTAAACTTTTCATCGGGCTGCCTGGTCTGTTGACACAACAGCAGCTTCCCCTCTGTTCCCACTTTGTCTCCTTTTCCTCTCCAGCTGCTCATGGCTTGGATGAAGACTGGAGAATTCAGAATCTGAATTCAGAGATCAATAACTAACAAAAACTACATTGTCAGTGACTGGAGTAAAGGTTTCTGTAATTCTAAAAACACACAGAAATGGCATAGCTTAGTTCAATAAAACCTTCTTCATTTATTCTAGTTAAGAATCTGATTAGCTTTGTAGGACAGACTTAACTTCTTTATGTGCTGTAAATTCTCACTTCCAAAAAATAGTAGTTGTATTGTGTAGCCATGTTTTTAAAAACCACTATTGAACTGTATTTCTTTCTTTCAATTTTTAATTTGCCCTTACTCTAAGGAGTTTAGAATGGCATATATTTTTCTCTTTTAAATAATTTTATACCACCTTTATAATATATGTTTTTCTGAATTTCTATCTTTCTAAAAGGTTGATTTCTCAATGTTAGTATTCTTATTCTAAAAGATAATGAAAATATCAATAATTTTTAAATTCTCAGGAGTAAATCCCACTGTACCAACCCAGAAATTTGCATGGGAGTGTCGCCTTAATTAACTTAATTGTGGCTAGATTGTGTTTCATATGCTTTTTGAGCTCCTTCTGGTATCTTCCCATATAAAGATACAGCTGTATACATATGAGATGACAAGCTATGTGACGGGGTATAGAATATAGCCCACTTTTCTCTGCATATAGGGCAAAACTCAAGAAGATCTGCCTATTACATGTCTGCTAATATTTTGCTGCCTTTCCTTTCCTACCCTACGTTTTCATTTTCTATGTTAAGTGAATGACAAAGCGCAGTACCTTCTTCAAGAGTAAGCCATGGGAAATGTTGTCTGCAGTTAGAAAGGATGATACCAGATGAGTGATGGACCCAGCTTCTCCACAATGAGGCCGAAATAGAAATGTGCTCATGCCTCGTTCCCTGCAAAAAAAATAAAAATAAATGATCAAGATTGAAAAGTTTGTCTGTGTGCATTCCTCCTTTGAAGTGCCTGGGTAGTCATAAACACACAACAGCCCTTAGGAAGAAGAAGAAGAGAGAAGAGATTGGGTTTATACCCCGCCCTTTACTACCCAAAGGAGTCTCAGAGTGGCTTACAAACTCCTTTCCCTTCCCCTCCCCACAACAGACACCCTGGGAGGTAAAAGAAGAAGAGGAGGAGGAGATTGGATTTATATCCCGCCCTTCACTACCCAAAGGTGTCTCAGAGCGGTTTACAAACTCCTTTCCCTTCCCCTCCCCACAACAGACACCCTGTGAGGTAGGTGGGGCTGAGAGAGCTCTTGACAGGAACTGCTCTTTTTCAAGAACAGCTCTTATCAGAACTACGGCTTGCCCAAGGTCATCCAGCCAGGTGCAAGTGGAGGATTGGGGAATCAAACCCGGTTCTCCCAGATTAGAGTCTGCGCACTTAACCACTACACCAAACTGGCTCTCAAGCAAGCAATGGACATTAGAGGCAATGAATAAAGTAAGGTTCGGAGAGGTCATGACTTCCACTACATTACAAAGCCACGCAAGCAGTGGATCGATGATCATTTCTGTAGAACAGCATGAGGAACTTTCCCTGAGCAATAATATGGCATTAGCCTTGGCTATGCAGTGGTCACTTGGTAAGCATAATACATGGCAAAAGTCTTCTCTGCTACATTTTCCTGGTATCCATTTACTAACTGGAGCCCTTTCCACCATCCCCATAGAAGTCAATGGAGTTGAGAAATCACTATACCAAATTTAAACACAGTGTCACTCTAATCAGCTTCGTTCCCTTAAGTGGAAAAGGAAACAAAGGAAACAAGAAAATGTTTTTGACCTTAATAGAGGGGGAACATATTAGGGACACTGTGAATTTCTCAGCAAAACTATCTGGCAGAAGAAGGATCTATTCAGATTGTATCAAGGGCCTATTGGTCTAAAGCTGACTCACAGCTGGGGGATCAGTTGGGAGTTGGGTTCTGATCCTACCCACTCAGCAAAATACCTACATGGAGAAGTTATAAGAGGGAGAAAGGGTTCCTTTCTTTTCCCTCCCTTCCAAGACAGGCAGTGACAGAAGCAATGCTTTTGATTTCTGCATTGCAAAAGGCAGAGAAAGAGCTCTTTTCTGTACCCTCCCATTCAAGCTGGGTGGGGACAGACACATCACTTTAACTGCTGCTTTACAAAGGGGAGAGCAGAAAGAACAGGTTTTCCCCTGCAGTTCAAACAGACAGTTTGCAGTGAAGAGAAAAGAACAGGTTTTCCCCTGCAGTTCAAACAGTTTGCAGTGAAGAGAAAAGAAGGGAAACCAGCTGTGTTTCGGATTGCACGCATACGCACGCTCACGTGCGCACGCACACACACCTGCATTTGCTGCATCTCAGCAGGTCTAGAAGGCAGCAAATTTTCCAGAATGGCAGATTAGAAGAACCAAACCTGATCATCCATACTTCATTTTGTATATCAAACTTTCTACCAAAGGTGCAGTGATATCAATATACATATCCCACGACTTACTTTCTAAGATTGTTGAGAACCATGATGTTTGCGTACATGTAATACAAGTAATAACTATACGGAGGATTTTTTTCAGTAGTCCAAATATCAGGGTTGGGGCTCTTCTCAGAGAACATGTGGTCACTGTGTTTGGATTCGTCATCCACACTGTCGAAACCTGTCACCTAAGAATCCAACAAAAACATGTTATGTGAATAAGCTTCATAATGGGAAGATAGATATAAGACTGATGTCAGTGGAAAACCACACGGATTGTCTAATGAGTATCCTCCCCCTTTACCAGAATGAAATGGAAGGATATTATAACCAATAACGACACTGGAAGCTCTCTGGTATAACTACATTATTGATAGAAACTGAAGATTTAACAGAATGCAGACCGCCAGGCACTTAAAAGACTCTGTTTACAGTGCTTTGGGAAAGGAGTTCTGGATTTGTGGGGAGGGGGGGTAGTGCTCTTCCACTTCATTCCTGTCTCCCCCCCCACACACACCTATTTACTATCTTCAGGATTACAGGGGTATGGGAGGGATTGCAGTATGGTGTCAGCAGTACTGAGACAGAGGAGATACAATAGTGAGAGTATACACAGCCAGGCAGGGCTCTTTTTGTAGAAAAAGCCCAGCAGGAACTCATTAGCATAATAGGCCACACCCAACACCAGAATGAAATGGAAGGATATTATAACCAATAAGGACACTGGAAACTCTCTGGTATAACAGAAACTGAAGATTTATAGAAACTGAAGATTTAATAGAATGCAGACCACTAGGCACTTAAAAGACTCTGTTTAGAGTGCTTTGGGAAAGAAGTTCTGGATTTGTGGGGAGGGGGCGTAGTGTTCTTCCCAGGGGTCATTTCGTAGAAAAAGAGCTAGGGGGACTCATTAGCATAACTCATTAGCATATGCCACACCCCCTGACATCACCGGAAGTGTGCCCTCCCCACAGCCGGCGGCGACCTCCAGCACCTGCCCAAAAATAGCCCTGCAGCCAGGTTTTGACAACAGGTCTGGGTGGTCCATCATTACCCCTGGTTGCATCTAAGGCTACAACCACCACCATTATTTTTCTTACTTTTTTTACTTGGCAAGTCTGACCACAGGGCTCAAGATGATCTTTTTCTGTTCATGAGCCAAACTGCCCAAATCACTCCAAAGCAGGCAGCAGACCAGAAATATTAAGAATTAAAACTTTTTTGCCAGCAGATGGAGTCCATTTCCTCCTACCACAGAGATTTAACTTTGTACTAGAGTTAAAATCTACTTTATCTTTGTCCTCAGCTGGGATGTCAGTATCCTATTACCACACATACAGTTGCCAATAGGTCTGGAGAAAAATATTCTGTCCTTTTAATAGAGGCTTAATGGAATGTTATTTACCAGGTGATATTATTTACCCAAGGACAAAAAAGGGGAAGGGGGAAAAAACTGAACCTAAAACTTAGAATCCAGAACCTGACAAAGGTTAGTCAAATGTAAGAAAGGGGGCCAATATTTAAAAACTTAAGGAAATATATAAAAATACATGTATTTATTAATCACAAATTTTAAAATTATATAAGGAACCAATCGTACGTTATGTATAAATAACAAATGATAAAATACAAGGGATTATAAATTGTCCTCAAGCAAAGAGCAGCCGCAAAGAGGTCTTTGCTTGAGGACAATTTGGCTCTACAACCATAGGAAGGTGATTCCTGGACCAAAAGTTTATATCTGAGAACCACTTGGCATGTGATTGCACTTTTAGAGGCCTCATTTATTTTTTACTCTGTGCCTGGTGGTTTATCTTGAAACAACTTGCTTCCGGTCCTTATTGAATTTATACTTTGTATTTACATGATTGTACTATCTCTCCCTTATAATAAAAGAGTTTTGGGTGCCAAAGTTCTAAAATGCACTCCTTTAGTGTTAGGCCGAAAAAACTGCCACTCGGAAGACACTGGCTGGGTTCATTGGCTGCTTTGTGCAGTCCCGGCCAGCGTTCCAAGGTCATTTACATATGGAAGCTGATTGGACTACACTCCATTCCACACCTCAAACTCACCCCCCCAAGGCAGTTGGAATTTTCAGTTGGGAGAGGAGAATGATGTCAGCTGCTCCCTAGGCAGAGGCTGTGTGTGTGTGTGTG